GGAGGTGGCGATCAGGATCAACTCCAGCACAAGAAAGGAAGCAACCCAGAGGCCGTAGAAGACATTGACGCGGATGTCTGTGCAGGCCAGCTTGGCGATGCCCATGTGCTCGCAGTAGGTATGGGGCATGTCGATGTGGGCACTGCAGAATGGCAGGCGCTTCGACATCACGGCCATCGGAAATATCAGACAGGCCGGCTTCAGAGTGATGCCCAGGCAAATCCAGATCACCGTGGCTTGTGTGAGGATAGTGGAGTATCTGAGAGGGTCACAGATGGCCACGTACCTGTCGAAAGCCATGGCCAGGAGCACCATGGATTCCATCCCCGTGAAGGTGTGGATGAAGAACATCTGGGCCAGGCAGGCATCAAACGTGATCTCCCCCAGGCCAAACCAGAAGATGGCCAGCATCTTGGGCAGGGTGGAGATGGAGAGGCCCAGGTCAACGAAGGAGAGCAGGCAGAGAAAGTAGAACATGGGCTGGTGGAGGCTGGCCTCGGTCTTCACCACGAAGAGGATGGTGAAGTTCCCCAGAAGAGCAATGAGGAACCCAGCACAGAAAGGGATGGAGAGCCATCCGTGCACCTCCTCCAGCCCTGGGACCCCCAGCAGGACAAACACGGGAGAGTAGAAATGGGTGCTGTTGGGGGGCCACATCCTTTCGCAGGTGGGTTGCTCTCAGTTGGGTTCCCTCCTACAGTCCATTCAATCTCTGCCTACCACAACTGCACAGTCGCTGATCAGTCGGGAAAGAGCCCCGCCAGCTGTGAGATCTTCTTCCCAGGAAAACCTTGGGTGGTCAAGGAATCCAACCGTCGGGGAGAACAGCTGCAGAGATGCACGCAGAATCTCTGGGTGGGGGGTCTGCAGGAAGAGAAGCAAGAGAATCTGAGGAGGCCGAGCACCTTCCTCTGAGGATGGGTGGCATTTATGCCATCTCCTGACAGAGCCCAGAAGTCCCATCCTGGCTGGAGTCTCCAGGGTGCAGAGACTAATTGCGGCATGTCTGTTCTTGGCCCCAAATGGGCCCTGATCATCTGGAGAGGTTTCTATCTGAGACATCGGCCTTCCTTCTAGGCAAACAATGGGAGGGGGGTCTTGCAACATGCCCTGATCCAAACAGTGGAGCATAGGTGAGGAGCATCTAAGGTCCCTGCAGCTGATGGTGCAGCCACGGTTAAGACTGAACATCTCCTGGGTCTTTGCTCATTGCATCCTACAAGCATACAGACATCCAGAGCATTCAGAGCCCCAGTCAATCAACCGATCACAGCCCACCCATCAGCCCCCATCTTGGAAGGAGAATCGCCCCCTCCCCAGAAGCTCTCCCAAGCAGCCGGGGCTTAACCCTCTGACCGAGGTCTCACCAGGAGGGCTGGCTCTGCCACTGGGGGAAGGCCCCTGCTGCTTCCTGGGTGTTTCCTTCCCTTCGGTTTGTGGCTCTTTGCAAACTGCAAGACAACCTTCTTGGGTGTGTGTGTGTGTGGGGGGGAGCATCCACTGAAAGCACCTGGGCCATCTTGCACAGGGCATCCTTGTCCTGGAGCCCTCGTGGGCGTAATGGCTAACGTGCAGAATAGGTTGTCCTCAACTTACAGCCTTGCCACCTCTTGCCTTGCCTTGCGCACAGAGAAACTGAGGGCTGCTGGCAGAGGGCAGGCGGGTGCCGGCAGGGCTGGTTCACAAAGAGAGGAGTTGCGAGGAAGTCAGTGGCAGGCTGGTGGCCCAGGATGGGCAGGAATTGGGGCTTGCAGAGTTGGCAAGGCTGAGCAGCTCAGAAACTAGGTTGACCTGACAGTCACAGCCTTACCCACCAAGGAGAACATTTGTAGCCCAGGGTGGAAATGGGGGGTCCTTGGTGCTCCCTGGTAGCTGGAGGGGTTTTCTTGCAGACGTTTCATGACCCAAACTAGGTAACACCATCAGTGCTGCAAGGAAGTTGGACTTGCAGAGAGGAGGAGGAGGAGGAGGAGGAGGAGGAGGAGGAGGAGGAGGAGGAGGAGGAGGAGAAGTTCTGTGAGGTACTGGGTGCTCTCTGAGCTTACTTGTTTCCTTGCAGACGTTTCATTGCCCAAACTAGGTAACATCATCAGAGGTAACCATCATCACTAACATTGATGATGTTACCTAGTTTGAGTAACGAGTGGAGAGGAGGAAGAGGAGGAGTCCGGAGGGGTGGCTCAAACCTGCAGAGGGTCCAGGGGCACGCCAGGTGCTGGGCTAGGGTTCTGCCAGGAGGGATGCCTGGGGTGCCAGCCTAGTCATTCTTTTCCCTTTTCTCTTTTTTTTTTTTTTAGCTCTTCCAACCTCCTGCCAGCTGCCAGCAGGAAGCACATGTGGACCGATGTTAATGCGAAGCTAGCTTCCTGTTTCATTTTTCTGACTGTTTTTATGCTGGTCATTTTTTAAAATATTTCGGGTTTGTGGATTATGGGGAATGTATTTTTTAATGGTTGCTTATAGTTCTTATAAACCCCTTGAATCAGTTTAATACACAATATACACCGGTGTCATGACTTCTTTTTCAAACTGTACCTGATAGGTGTGCACCAATATAATGAATCTTCAGGGACAGTCAAATCTACCGTGCAGTGGAAGCTTACATACACACGTGATGTATGATTTAGTACAGTGATGGTGAACCTTTTAGAGACCGAGTGCCCCAAAATTGCCCTGCCCCCGCCCCACCCCCGCCCCCCCTCAGGACCATCCACGGCCTGCCGCAGATCGCCCAGGCAGCCCTGCAGCACCATGGTGGCTACACCCTCCACCCGTGCCCCGCAGCATCATGTGCTGCCCAGCTGCCATGTGCTTGGCTGCACTGCTCCATGTGGGCTGCACCTGGGGGTGACTCTCCTCCGAGGGGGCTGCTGGGGAGGACTGGGCTGCGGGGGAAGGCAGGGCTGGGGCGACGGTGTGCGTGCCCACAGAGAGGGCTCCGAGTGCCGCCTCTGCCACTCGTGCCATAGGTTCGCCACCACTGATTTAGTATGTAGCAAGAAATATGTCGGAAAGAGTGTAACCTCATAGCACAGTGGTGGCGAACCTATGGCACGGGTGCCAGAGGCGGCACTCAGAGCCCTCTCTGTGGGCACGCGCGCCGTCGCCCCAGTCCTGGGCCTTCAGCTGGGTATTATAAAACCTTTTCGCTTTAGGCCTCTGCTGCCATGTGCAAAAAATAAAAAAAGGTTCAATCAGTCAATTTCAACTTCTCGCGGGAAAAAAAAGATCTTGCAAAGTTGGAATTGATTGATTGAACTTTTTAGTCCCACCCAGTCTGCCGTTAGCACTGCAGCCACGCCCACCCAATGGGCCACACCCACCCAATGGGCCACACCCACCCGGCACCCGACGATGCATAAGTGGGTTTGGGGTTGCAGTTTGGGCACTCGGTCTCTAAAAGATTCGCCATCACTGTCATAGCACCTCAGCCAATGTGGAACGAGGAGGGATGTGGCGGCCGGGACAGGATTGTATAAAGAAGGGAATAGTTTGAGTTGGAACTTTGGAGAGAATCAAGCTTTGATAAGCTTCTCTCCCTGCTTGTTGCAATAAATGAAATAAAAGGCCTTAATTGTCTCTTGGCTGGTTATTGGCCAGGCGAACTTGCCTCTGGTCACGAGGGAAAGTAGCCAGGAGCAGATAACAGCACCCAATTAGATTGACCCAGGCTTAAAAGAGTCACAGAGACATCAAATTCTGAACAGGTGGTTCTTTTAATGGTACTTGTTCCTCTTCAATAACATCATCTAATTATTCTATAGTACAGTGGCGGGATTCAAATATGTGAACAACCGATTCTATGTGTGGATGCCGCTTCCGGAAGCCCATTCTGGGTCTGGGCAACAAAAAAGTAGCTACCGGTTCTGCAGAAGTGGTGCGAACTGGCTGAATCCCACCCCTGAGTCTGTAATAGCAGATATTTAAATTTATTTTCAGAGTTCAAAAGTCCTAAGATCCACCAATTTTTTGTCCTCTGTTGCCCTCTAGTGGCCACCCTTCAAAGTCTCCTTGACAGTTATTCTTTTGCAGGAGTGGCGATGAGGGCGAAGGTTTGGTTGAAAGAAAAACCATCAGGTCCAGTTCCAAGCCAGGAGTAGATAAAGTGGAGGGTAAGATGCTGGAAATAAAAATGGAGGCTGCTCAAGAAAGAGGGTTCCTGTTTATTGATGAGCAGAACCAGCAACAGCATGCCGTTCTGGGACAGCCGACCAGATGGAGTTGAAGGAGAAATGGAGATAAAATCTTAGGCAGAAAAAAGCCCCCAGTCTCTCTTTTCTCAGGCAGAAACCTGAGGAGGCCACTCTTTAGAAATGGAGATTTGGCGATCCTTTCAGAAAGACTGGGGCCACCCTATTCATAAGCAAAATCCCCTCAGCCCCCACAGCTGACGGGGCTGAAGGCAGGTGTCTAGGTTGTACTCAACTGCTGTTCAGCAAAGTGTGGTATGTGTGTGCGTGTGTGTGTTGGAAAGATTCCCCATTGTGATTGTCGTGCTGATATGCAAACTGTTACAGATATTGTATAAGATTGCTCACAATGTGTGTTCCTTGGATCCCTAGAAGATCTGCACAAAGCAACGCCACAAGTGATTGCCTGGAGAGCTGAACTGGACTTCCAGTTATGAGGCCAGTGCCCCAAAGAAATATTGTGTGTAATTACGTGGATTGTGCATGTGTATGTTTACTTTTCTTCTGTCACGTGCTCATCATTCTCTCTCTCTCTCTCTCTCTCTCTCTCTCTCATCTATCTAACTATCTATCTATCTATCTATCTATCTATCTATCTATCTATCTATCTATCTATCTATCATCTATCTATCATCTGTCTGTCTGTCTGTCTGTCTGTCTGTCTGTCTGTCTGTCTGTCTGTCTGTCTATCTATCTATCTATCTATCTATCTATCTATCTATCTATCTATCTATCTATCTATCTATCTATCTACTGTGTATATGTGCATGAACGTACGTGTGTGTGTGTGTGTATTTGATATCTGCACCATCAGGCAGTGTGAGTCATGAGTCCCCTTTCTGAACTGAACATGCGCAGGATTCTTTTCCGGATCTCCCTGGTCCTCACGCCATAGATGACCGGGTTGAGCATCGGGGGCAGAATGACGTAGAGGTTGGCAATGAGGATGTGGCCAAACAGGGGGATGTTGTGTCCAAAGCGGTGGGTGAGGAAGGAGAAGAAGGCTGGCGTGTAGAAGACAAAAATCACGGCCACGTGGGAACTGCAGGTGCCCAAAGACTTGAGCCGGGCCTCCCTGGAAGGCAGATGGAAAACGGCCCTTAGGATCAGCACGTAGGACCCAAAGATCAGAACTAAGTCCAGCATGAGGAAGGCAATCGTGAACAAGCCGTAGATGCTGTTCGCCCGGATGTCTGTGCAGGAGAGCTTGGCGATGCCCATGTGCTCGCAGTATGTGTGGGCGATGATGAGGTGGGACTTGCAGAAGGGCAGGCGCAGAGTCATCAGCACGATGGGAATCACCAGAAAAGTTGGTCGCAACGCCACAAAGGCACACATGCAGGCCACCCGCTCTTTGGTCAGGATGACGGTGTATCTCAGAGGGTCACAGATGGCCACGAACCTGTCGAAAGCCATGGCCAGGAGCACCACGGATTCCATCCCCGTGAAGGTGTGGATGAAGAACATCTGGACCAGGCAGGCGTCAAACGTGATCTCCCCCAGGCCAAACCAGAAGATGGCCAGCATCTTGGGCAGGGTGGAGGTGGAGAGGCCCAGGTCAATGAAGGAGAGCAGGCAGAGGAGGTAGAACATGGGCTGGTGCAGGCTGGCCTCGGTCTTCACCACAAAGAGGATGGTGAAGTTCCCCAGAAGGGCGATCGCATACCCAACACACAGAGGGATGGAGAGCCAGGGGTGCAGAGCTTCCAGTCCTGGCACGCCAAGCAAGGTGCAGGTGGGAGAATAGAAGTGGGAGGCATTAGAGGCGGGCATCCTCCCGGGTCTCAGTGGCGGGAAAAGCACCTTGCGCGTGTTGATAAGGAAGAGAGGCCAGCATGTTCCAGCCCTGGACTTTAGACCCTGATGGAGCCGAGCAGCCGCTGTGGAAATCGGGAGCAACTGGCCCAGTGTGAAAAGGACCCTGAAAGCCACAGGAAATAACAATTAGGGAAAGGCAGAAGACAGAGAACTTCTGCACCTCTGGAGGCCCACCAGGGAAGCCCCTGCATCTCCTCAAAGAGTGGGGAGAGCCATTTGGGGAGGGTAGAAAAAAAGGCTCTAAGAATAGGAATAGCACGTAGACTTACAGTATATACCGCTTCACAGTGCTTTACAGCCCTCTCTAAGCGGTTTAGTCAGCATGTTGCCTCCAACAATCTGGGTCCTCATTTTATTGACTTTGGAAGGATGGAAGGCCGAGTCAACCTTGATCCAATCAGGATCGAACTCCAGACTGTGGGCAGAGTCAGCCTGCAATACTGCATTCTAACCACTGCACCACTGTCCCTCAAAGACACCCTCCTTAGTCCATGTGGCAGATTTTTCACTGAATCCAAATAACAGAATAACAAAAAAACAGAATTGGAAGGGACCTTGGAGATCTTCTAGTCAATGTCAGATCTGCCTGGCTCGGCTTGGGGGCTTCCTGCCATAAAAAGAAGAAGGGGCAGGGAGGAGGATGAAAGGGAGAAGAAGGGGGAGAAGGATGAAAGGGCAAGAAAGCTTTGCGTGTATGTGATAGGAAATCGGGAGGGGAGGAATGACAGGTAGAAGGACCAACGCAGCCGGATCCTGTTTGTACCAGCATCCCATGACCAGGCACCCCGAGAAATATGTGGATTACCCCTCCCCAACACCTCAGAGTTCTCAACACATCTTGCTGAGCTCCGGTTGGCTGGAAACGGGCTGGTCATGGTGGGGGGGGGAGGGATGGGCTGGGGGCAAACCTACACCTTATTTTTGTATCCCAGGAGCAGGGTAATTTCAGAGCTGGCTTGACTTTACTGCAACCATCACTCTTAGCAAAAGACCCCTTTGCTTTAACTGAATGGAGTCGAAGGCTTTTCTTTCCTAAGGGGTCAGATCAGGCCAGGTCTGACATAGTCCAGCCCCCTGCTCAAGCAGGAGACCCCAGACCATTTCAGACAAATGGCTGTCCAGTCTCTTCTTGAAAACCTCCAGTGATGGAGAACCCACAACTTCTGGAGGCAAGTCATTCCACTGGTTAACTGTTCTCACTGTCAGGAAGTTTCTCCTTAGTTCCAGGTTGCTTCTCTCCTTGACTGGTTTCCATCCGTTGCTTCTTGTCCTGCCTTCTTCAGGGGCTTTGGAAAATAGGTTGAGCCCCCTCTTCTTTGGGGCAGCCCCTTAGATATTGGAAGACTGCTATCATATCACCCCTAATTCTTCTTTTCACCAGACTAGACATACTCAATTCCTTCAATTCCAAATTCTCTGCCTGGGCATCTCCTGGGTGTCCCCTCCTTCTCCTTTGACCCAGAGGCTTTCAACAGGAGGACTTCCAAATTTAAGACCTTGCCTTTCTTCAGGGGCCCAGGACTTCTTCACCAACAAGCCACTCAGCGTTCATTTTTGTTGGGTTGCTTTCTTTTGACTGGCCCTTGAGTTATGTGCTCTCATCTCACCAGGTTTTTTTTGACACTTAAATGGTCATATTTATGTTCCCAAATGAGGATTTCCAGTGCTTTTTGCTTGCTAACCATAGTCAGTGCAATCTGGAGATCAGGCATCTCATTTACTGGTCTCCATACTATCCTGGCTTAGATTCTATTCTATTCTATTCTATTCTATTCTATTCTATTCTATTCTATTCTATTCTATTCTATTCTATTCTATTCTATTCTATTCTGTTCTGTTCTGTTCTGTTCTGTTCCATTATTATTCTGTTCTGTTCTGTTCTGTTCCGTTCCATTCCATTATTATTCTATTCTACTCTACTCTACTCTACTCTACTCTACTCTACTCTACTCTACTCTATTCCATTCCATTCCATTCCATTCCATTATTATTCTATTCTATTCTATTCTATTCTATTCTATTCTATTCTATTCTATTCTATTCTATTCTATTCTATTCTATTCTATTCTATTCCATATTTTCTATTCCATTCCATTCCATATTTTCTATTCTATTCTATTCTATTCTATTCTATTCTATTCTATTCTATTCTATTCTATTCCATTCCCATGCCTGTTCCATTCCATTCCTATTCCTATTCCAGTTTACAGAATAACAGAAGGGACCTTGGAGGTCTTCTAGTCCAACCCCCTGCTCAAATAGGAAACCCTATACCATTTCAGACAAATGGCTGTCCAGTCTCTTCTTGAAAACCTCCAGTGTTGGAGCATTCACCGCCTCTGGAGGCAGGTGGTTCCACTGGTTAATTATTCTCACTGTCAGGAAGTTTCTCCTTAGTTCCAGGTTGCTTCTCTCCTTGACTGATTTCCATGCGTTGCTTCTTGTCCTGCCTTTGGATGCTTTGGAGAATAGCTTGACTGCCTCTTCTTTGGGGCAACCCCTGAGATATTGAAAGGCTGCTATTTTGTCCCCCTTAGTCCTTCTTTTCATTAACGTAGCCATGCCCAGTCCCTGCAACCGGTCACCCTATGTTTCAGACTCCAGCCCCCTAATCGTTTTTGTAATGTTGAGGATTTCTGAGCATCATTTCCTACTCACCTCATTCTCATGTGCAGCCACATCCCCGATGCACAAGGAATCTGGGTCCGTTTAGTTTACACCTTCCCTGTCGTATTTGGACCAGGTGCCAGGTGGGTGTAGAGCAGAACAATCTGAGGCCAGCCATTCCCTCACTCAGCCACTGCCTCTGCCTCTGCCTGGCCCTTACGATTCAGGTGTGCCTAATGGGGGGGGGAGTCACGGTCTCCTGGCTTCAGGACTGGTGCCAAAGTGGCTCTAACGGTGCAGATATTGCTCAGTTCTTATCACTTATATACCTTTCCTTTGCTCTGGGAACTCAAGATCAAACCAAAGGATCGGCAGCAACTTTAACTGAACTTTAAATTTATATCGAAGACCCCAATTTAAAATGCTTTATATTGCATTTTCATTGAATGATTGTAAGCCACCTAGAGTCTCCTCTGGTGAGAGGGCAACGTATACATTTAAAAACGAATAAATAAACTTGTCCTCCTGACTCTGCCCTTGCCAGGACCCCTCCTGGCCTCTGCCACCCTTGCCCTGTCCGCTCACCTGGGAAGGGTCCCTGCCAGGCGGGCTCAGCCATGGGAACCGGAGGGCACCGTCTGCCAGCAGCTGCATCCCGGGCCAGGGCGTTGCCTCCCATCTGCGCCACCTGGCTGCACAGGGAGCAGCTTTTATGGCCTGGCGCCCCCTGGAGTTCTCCGTGGGGATTGCGCAGAGAGCCCTGCAAGGCACTCAGGTTCCCGAGGCCTTGAGTCTTTCCCCCCCCCAGGACAGGAGAATGGTGGCTGCCACCCAGAGACCAAAGCAAAAAGGCAGCCTTGGGAGGTGGTGGGAGTTAATGGCTGGACGTTGGAAGGCAAGAAAAGGCGTCCAGTTGCCGTGACTCAACCTCCAAACATACTTTCACACATGCATGAAAACAAATCCATCACCCTATTCAGTTGCAGGATCTGGAAATACCCAGCCCTCTGAAGAAGGAGTAAGGCCGACTGGATAGCAGGCTTCTAATCTTTGAGACGCTGCCACAGAGAGGATGGCATCAAACTGTTCTCCAAAGCCCCTGAGGGCAGGACGAGAAGTAACAGCTGGAAGGCCATCAGAGGGAGGTCCAACCTGGAGCTCAGGAGGAATTTCTTGACAATGAGGACAATTAATCAGAGGAATGGCTTCTCCCCAGAAATTGTGGGTGCTCCATCACTGGAAATTTTCTAGGACAAGTTTGGGCAGCCATTTGACCAGAACTGTATAAGGTCCTCTGCTTGAGCAGGGGTTGGACTAGAACAGTGGTTCTCAACCTGTGGGTCGGGACCCCATTTGGGGTCGATCGACCATTTCCTGGGGGTCGCCAAGCAAGGCTGTCGGCCATTTTTTTTGTCCGCCATTTTTTTTGTCCGCCATTTTTTTTGTCCGCCATTTTTTCCCCCCTTTTCCGGCGGGTGCCTTACCTCCCTTGGGCTGGGCCAGCTGGTGGTCGGCCTGCTCCGTCTCTGCCGCTTGCCTGCTACGCCTCGGCCGGCGCAGGGGGCGGAACCACGCATGCGCGGCGCTCCCGGGCAGGGAAAGTCCTCGACTTACGACCGGTTGGGTAGTCCTCGACTTACGACCGGTTTAGTCCTCGACTTACGACCGGTTTAGTCCTCGACTTACGACCGGTTGGGGTCGCAGCATTAAAAAGGTTGAGAACCACTGGACTAGAAGATCTCCAAGGTCTTGTCTGATTCTCTTATTCTGTTACTGTTATTGTTACTATAACTATTCTCTTTTTGGTGTGGTTCATCTGGAGCAGCTGCTTCAGCCTGAGTTCTGGGCCACATGGCTATCGAACCTCACGGGATGGGCAAGTATCCTCAGAGGTGGTCCTGTGGCTCACCTGGCCTGGTGTAATATAGGAGTTTAATGGTAATAATCAACCTTTTGAATTTCACCTGGAAAGAAACTGAGAGGCAATGCAGCTCACATAGCATAAATGCCGCATAGGCAAACTGAGAGATGCGCAATACTACCCATGCTGCTGTATTCCGGACCAATTTCTGGGTGGTTTTCAAGGACAGCCTCCTGTAGAGTGCATTGCAACAGTCCAGCCTGGAAGTGACCAAGGCATGAGTGACCATGAGCAAGGGCCCCCAGTCCAGGAAAGGCCGCAATGGGGGCACAAGATGTATCTGCGCAAACGGGTGTGTCAACGCTGTGACAATGGATGTCGTCACTGTGACAACTGGGAATCAGCAGCCATTTTACTTTTGCTTCTAATGTGTCTTTTCTATTCTTTTAGAGTTCAGATGTAGAAGGGGGGGAAATGGGGTAAATGCTTGAGGTTTAGCTAGCCATAACAATGTAGAAGTGTGGGAACTCAAGGACATGGTCTGATAAGGTTTTGGCGGCTGAGGAGCTAGTGAGAAAAGCCTGAGTCTTGTGTTAATTGGGGAATGTGATTTATGACAGTGTTTATGGGGTGGGAATTGCAACTTGTTACTTTGTATCTGGGGGGAAGGAATCTGAGTTTTGGGTTCAACTATGTAAGTGACGATACTTTGTTTCTTAATAAAATGTTCTCTAAGGAAGAATTCTTGCCTTGAAGTTCTTTTACTGGTTTCATCTATCGGAACCATGACAGGGTATGGATGGGTCGCTTCTTTTGGGGACCTCTGAAGCTGGCCCTGAAAAGGGAAGGTTGGAGACTGGACAGAAATTGACCCGATCACTTTGGTTCAGTTGTGGTCTCTGTCAAGGAATTCCGCAGCAGGCGGTCTTGACGAAGTGGGAGAGACTGACACGAACTTGTAGTCTTTTATATAAATAAATATATTTAACATCTGTAGGTTTACAGCAGACAAGATAGTCGGGAGCACAGGAGCATCGTGAGGTAAATCACTAACAGCACACAGAGCGCACACACAGAAGAAAAAAGGTGGGAAAAAAGGGACCCTCCCCCTCCACACCCACAGCAACCAATCACAGTGCAGATTGCCTCACGCGAGAGCTGGCAGTCTCCAACCAATCAACTACAACTGTGTATTCTGGCCCATTGTACACTTTCACTGTACTAAATTTAAATATCCTAACAAAGAATATTACCACACAGTCTGCCTTCCCCTTGGGAAACAGGAGAGAGAGAGAGAGAGAGAGAGAGAGAGAGAGAGAGAGAGAGAGAGAGAGAGAGAGAGAGAGAGAGAGAGAGAGAGAGAGAGAGAGAGACCTCTAAGGGTCAGACAGAGGTTTCCTTCCCCCAAACCAGCCCTCAGCTGCAAAGTCTCCTTCCTCTCCTTCAGCTGGTGATGGCACCACATGCAGGTCGCCTCCGGGAGGAGACCCCTTTGGCCCACAGCTGCAACAGGTCAGGAGGCATCAGGAAGAAAAGAGCCTGAGCACCCTGTCCCGGATCCTCTTGGTCCGTACGCCGTAGATGACGGGGTTCAGCATAGGTGGAACCACGAGGTAGACGTTGGCAATGAGGATGTGGACAGAATGGGGGACGTTGTGGCCAAAGCGGAGGGTGAGGAAGGAGAAGAAGGCGGTAGTGTAGAAGACGAGTATGACACAGATGTGTGAGCTGCAGGTGCCCAGGGCCTTGAAGCTAGCTTCTCTGGAGGGCAAGTGGCAGACGGTGCGCAGGATCAGGCCGTAGGAGAGGCTGATGAAGCAGACATCGAAGCCTCCAATCAGGAAAGCCAAGGTGAGGCTGTAGCCCCCGCTGGCCGCCGTATCCGCACAGGCCAGTTTCAGCAGAGCCATGAACTCGCAGTAGCTGTGGACGATGACCTTGGACTTGCAGAAGGGCAGCCGCCCCACCAGGAATGGGTGTGGGAGGAACAGCACCAGCCCCCGAGCCACCACGGCCAGCCCCACCTTGGCCAGGAGGGCGTTGGTGAGGACAGTCGCGTGGTGCAAGGGGTTACAAATGGCCATGTAGCGGTCGTAGGCCATGGCCAGGAAGAAGCCAGACTCCATGGCGGTGAAGGAGTGGATGAAGAACATCTGGGCCAGGCAGGCGTGGAAGCCGATGTCCTTCCTGCCAAACCAGAGGATGGCGAGGAGCTTGGGCAGGGCGGAGGAGGAGAGCACCAGGTCCGTGAGGGAGAGCATGCCCAGGAAGAGGTACATGGGCTCATGCAGGCTGGGCTCCGTCTTGATCACGAGCAGGAGGCCCACGTTGCCCAGCAGAGCCACTAGGTACATGGAGCAGAAAGGGATGGAGAGCCACCGGTGCAGGGACTCCAGCCCTGGGATGCCCAGGAGGGTGAAGGCATCGTGGAGCGTGGCCGTGGCGTTCGCGGGAGCACCAGAGTTGATGTGCTGCATGGTGCCCCTTCATCTGCAGAGCCTCCTCAGTCAAAGAGACCCTTGGACAGAAAGGAAGGAGATTACATCAGGGGGAGGGGGACCCGGAGGAGGAAGAGAATTTGGGCCAGGGCTTTAGATATAGCAGCCTCTCCGTGACATTGCAGACAATCTGTGGGGTTCTAGATAGATAGATAGATAGATAGATAGATAGATAGATAGATAGATAGATAGATAGATAGATAGATAGATAGATAGATAGATAGATAGATGATAGATAGATAGATAGATAGATAGATAGATGATAGATAGATAGATGATAGATAGATAGATAGATAGATGATAGATAGATAGATAGATACTGTACACAGATATATAGAGATATGATAATCAAAGAGCTAGATAGATAGACAGACAGACAGACAGACAGTCAGACGGACGGACGGACGGACGGACGGACGGACGGACGGACGGACGGACGGACGGACGGACAGACAGACAGACAGACAGATAGATAGATATAGAGATAGATAGATAGATAGATAGATAGATACTGTACACAGATATATAGAGATATGATAATCAAAGATATAGATAGATATAGATAAATAGATACTGTACACATATATAAAGATATGATAGATAGATAGATAGATAGATGATAGACAGACAGACAGACAGACAGACAGACAGACAGACAGAAAGAAAGAAAGAAAGAAAGAAAGAAAGAAAGAAAGAAAGAAAGAAAGAAAGAAAGAAAGAAAGAAATAGAGAAATAATAGTGGAGTCAACCCATCTTATCTGGTGGGTTGGCTCTATTATCGGTTGAGCAAGAGACATCCAGAATTTCTGCACCTATAAGGCTTTCTTGGGAATTATTTGTTTACAAAACCACCGAAGAAGGCTGGGCCAATCCGTCTTTTTGCAAAAGACGGTTCTTGGAAGTGCCCATCTAATCAAGGACAACTGAGTTTGAGCTGTACTTGTCATTTTGATCCTTGGTGTGGTAGGGAATCTGCCCTCTCAAGTAAGGAACCAAGGTGTGTTGCGACAGAGGCCACAAAGTATATTCTCTTGGCATGCACCTCCACAGTGAACGCTGAAGAGCCCCAAAGCCTGCAAGGTTACAGGTTACAGACCCCCCTGGAATGATACACAAGGTTTTCAGAGGCAATGCAAAGGACAGACTGACCTTCACTGCAGGAAGACAGCTCAGATGATCTGGTGCCTCTAAATTTCTGTACTTCTAAGGAGGCTCCCAGCCTGCAGAGGGAGGGCTGGGAAGGGGGGGGGAGCTCACATGAAATACTGGGGCCCAGTTGTGTGTGCGAGGATGTCCCTGCCTCACCCTGGTGGGCTTTGGAATGGCAGAAAGACGTTGATATTTGGTCAGAAAACAGCTTTCTCTTCTGCAGATATGAGGCCCCATCAAGGAGGCTCTCCCATGCACCTTATGTGGAGCCAGGGGTGGCAGGAGACCTTCTCAGCAGCAGGTCCCCCACATTAGGGAATGGCCCCAGGCAGAGCCAGGCTGCTCCAACATTGCTTCAGGCTCAGCATCTACCACAGCCTGAGAACTGTGGGGAGAGGTCTTCATTGGGTCCTCTCTTTATTGTATTTCCTTCCCCTTGTGGTTTTTCAGGTCTGTTGCCTAGAGAACTAGGGATACAAGGCAGAGAAATATTTACATTTTCAAACTACCACACCAAGAAACAGAATTAACAGACTTAACAGAATAACAGAGTTGGAAGGGACCTTGTAGATCTTCTAGTCCAACCCTCTGCTCAAGCAGGAAACCCTATACCATTTCAGACAAATGGCTGTCCAGTCTCTTCTTAAAAGTTTTCAGTGTTGGAGCATTCACCGCTTCTGGAGGCAGGTGGTTCCACTGGCTAATTGTTCTAACTGTCAGGAAATTCCTCCTTAGTTCTGGGTTGCTTCTCTCCTTGACTGGTTTCCATCCATTGTTTCTTGTCCTGCCTTCAGGTGCTTTGGAGAATAGCTTGACTCCCTCTTCTTTGGGGCAGCCCCTGAGATACTGGAAGACTGCTATCATGTCCCCCCTTGTCCTTCTCTTCCTTAAACTAGACATACCCAATTCCAGCAACCGTTCCTTATATGTTTTAGCCTCCAGTCCCCTAATCATCTTTGTTGCTCTTCTCTGCACTCTTTCTAGAGTCTCCCTTTCATTGAAAAGTGACTTGCCTGCGAGGACCACGGATTCTCAACCTCCTGTTTCTCCCCCCGCTTGGCAAAATCTGGGCCATTTAGCCCAGAGACTGACCTGGGTGGGGAAAGCAGTCACCCCTTCAGACATGCAGCTCACTGGTGCTTTTCCTGCCAAGAGGGCCCAGCAGTCAACACCCAGGCAATTTATGACCGGCCCTTCCCTGCCATTTTGGTGGCCTTGGGGAGCTTCTGCCTCTCTTGTGGATCCCAGAGTTCTTCGCACACGCAGCTCCTTCTCCCTCCCTTGCCTGAGGGATTTCCAGTCATGGAAACGATCTTCACAATTCTAACCGATAAATGCCATGCTGCGGTTGTGAAGGTGGATTCCTGCCAACAAGAAGGATGCCGAGGAACTGGGAAGAGCGTCCAAGATGGTGAAGGACTTGGAAGCTCCACCCTATAAAGTGAGGGGATGGCAGAAAAGAAAGGATTTGGTCCGTCTTCTCAAGCCTGGAGTCTAGAAATAGCACTAGGAGCAAAACAATCCAAGAATCATGTATGTCCATCCTTGGAGAGTTGCTTCAATAGAAGGTCAAGGACTTGGAGGTTGGTCCTTTATAGTCCCAGGGGTGGCATGGCTTCATTAAGGACATTGCTGCTCTCTCATTGACGTATCTCGTGACATTGAGGGGCTGCCACAAAGAAGAGAGGGGTCACCTTATTCTCCAAAGCACTAGAGGGCAAGACAAGAAACAATGGAAACTAATCCAGGAGAGAAGCAACCTGGAATTAAGGAGAAACTTCCTAACAGTGAGGACAATTAGCCAGTGGAACAGCTGGCCTCCAGACATTGTGGGTGCTCCATCACTGGAGGCTTTTAAGAAGAGATTGGGCAGTCATTTGTCTGGGATGGTATAGGTCAGGGATAGGCAACCTTGGCTCTTTTATGACTTGTGGACTTCAATACCCAGAATTCCTGAACCAGGAAGGCAAGGTCCCTTCCAGCTCTATCCTGATTTCCTTTAAAGGAGAAGGGCTGGTGGCCTTTGCTCAGCCCTTCATAGCTGCCACCATGACTTTGGGCTGGGTGTCCTGCCAAAATCTGGCTCTCATCTGGTCCCACCTGCTCAGGTTCCCATGAGCCTCCTGCTGACTCCTGGTGGGCTGCTCGTTCTGCAGGCCGATGGTCTGCCTGGTCTGCCTCTTCAGCCCCGATGTAGAGGATCTGAGGAGACCCTGGCGGGTCAGTGAAATGCTGATTTGTGAGAAAGGACTGCTTTTGGCCACACTAGGTGTTGAGTTCAATTGGCTCTCCTGTCACATTCTGGCAGGACTACAAAGCATTCCTGGAACTGTTCAAATGAGGCATTTAGGGAGGCAGATTCCAACAGCAAGGGGGATGAGAACGCCTCATCAAGTGCCATTAAACGGCCAGGCTCCGTTACCTTCCTAGGAGAAATATCCATTTGTCTTATGGGAATAAACACTAAAAGGCTGATTAGAACTTTGATGTTGGAAAGATATAAATGGACCACAGGCAGTCCTCAACTTACAATCACAACTGAACCTGCAGTTTGATGAATAAGTGGGTCTCCACGTGGATGTCCCTGATTTTATGATACTTTTGCATCCATCATTAAGTATATATGACTGGTGTAAAGTGAATCCACTTTGGCTGGATTGTGTCATTGTTCTTGGGCTGGTCCAGACAATACTGTAATCTTAGATGTATTGAAGGATATTTGTGAACGACAGACCCAGAAGTTAATTTTAAGAGTATCTGCCATTATAGATAGACGTTGTTTGGAAAATGTTATGGAAGAGGAACAAGTTTTACTGGATAGTATTTGAAAGAGGATTTAAAATAGAAATTATGGGAAGGAGATGCTACACTGGACATACAAATGATGTCTCAACAAAAGAAAAGGGTGACCTGGATACAATTTCTCATATTTGATTTACAAAAGAGATTTGTTGTAGCTTTGAAGAATTTCTGAGTCAGGCCAAAGAAAAAATGAAAATAAACCAAAATCTAGGACATTATTTGAGGGAATTAAAAATCAAGATTATTAAATGTAAAGACAAGGAATATAAAGTTGGTTTATTTGATCAAAATTATTATCACTTGTAATCTTTAATGGACTTTTGCAGATTGAATGATGAGATTTTAAGGATTTATTTATAGATAAGAGATGCGATATAGAAAGAGATCACTGTCTTTTAAGAGAAGGTGATAAGTTACTAAAATTGTCTGAATTTGGAACAGTGACATCTTCAGCTTCAGAGATGACAAAATGATTAGAAGTTACTGTTACATTAAAAAACAAAATCCCCAGAACTGGATTAATCAATTAATTTAATAATTAATAAGTATTTATTATGAATTAATCAATTTGACATGCAAATTTTAGAGTGAAGAGAATCGGCTATTGGAAATCCCCGTTTTGCCCTTTTTTAGCCCCCTTTTGACCATATGAAACTTTCTCTTAATAGGTCCATCATCACCATCATCATCCTCACTCTTTTTCCACTCAGGGTAAGCAGGGTTGAAGTTAAGGCAGAAGGTACCAGCTCCAAGCTTCTGAGATGTGATGGAGCTCAGGAGCTAAAGAGACCGTCTCTTGATGGACGGCTAAATCCCTAATTCACTTACAGCCTTGGCTTGCCTACAACCCAAGTTGCTTCCTGACAATTGTGTTACCCTGAAATGAGAGACTCCCACTCTGAAGAAAAGGCAGGGAAAGTGCTCGTTCCTTTCACATGAGAATTTTGGGGCCCTCCAGAGGTCACATTCCATAAAAAATGACTTCTGCTGCTCTTCCCTCACGTCTTACAAAGCTGAAAGACCCTGAGGATTTTTTCTCTGATGGGCTTTGTTCTCCAGGCATACACAATGGGATTCAGCGCTGGGGGGACTAAGAGGTAGAGGCTGGCTAGCAGGACACGGATGTACGGAGCCACTCCGTGGCCAAAGCGGTGGGCCAGGAAGGAGAAGACAGCTGGGGTGTAGAACAACAGGATCACACAAATGTGGGAACTGCAAGTCCCGAGGGTCTTCCAACAGGCGTCCTTTGATGGGAGATGGAAGACTGTCCCAAGAATGAGGAAATAGGAGAAAGAAATAAACACTATGTCAAACCCAATGATTAGGGCAACCACCACCAAGCCATAGGCACTGTTGATTTTGGTGTCCCCACAGGCCAACTTGACCACAGCCATGTGCTCGCAATAGGAGTGGACAATGACCCATGTTTGGCAAAAGTGGAGATGCATCACCATTAGAACTAAGGGGACAAGGAGCACCACTGCCCGAGTGATGATGGCCAAGCCCAGTTTGGCAATGGTAAAGCCAGTGAGGATAGCCGTGTATCGCAGGGGGTTACACACAGCCACATAGCGGTCAAAGGCCATGGCCACTAGAAGACCGGACTCCAGGGCGGTGAAGGCATGGATAAAGAACATCTGGGTCAAGCAAGCATTGAAGGCAATGTCATGGGCACCTAGCCAGAAGATGGCGAGCATCTTGGGGATGGTGGAGCTGGACAGGCCCATGTCCACTACGGACAGCATGGCTAGGAGCATATACATGGGCTGATGGAGACTGTCCTCCATTTGGATGATAAGGAACACGACCCCATTCCCTACGAGGGCCAGTAGATAGGTCAGACAGAAGGGAAAGGCCAGCAAGAAGTAAGCAGTCTCCAGTCCTGGGATCCCCACCAAGAAGAAAGACGGAGAGATGCCCAGGTCTGTGTGGTTGGGCCAGGTCATGATGGACAGAAGGTTTCCTTGAATCTCGACGGGGCTGAAATGACAAATAGAAGGTGGTCAGCTGGACCAACCACCCAGGCAACTGAGGAACCACTTCATCTTCCGTCTATGCTCAGTCCTGGTTGACAACTGCTGAAGGACCAGTGGAAATGGTTCGTGCAACCTCAACTCTCCTGTGTGTCCTACATCAACATGATCTTTACAGGACAAAGAGCTTCATCTGCACAGAAGAATGGATTGAGAGGGGCTGAGGGGAGCAGGGAAAGGACAGTGGTGAGTCCGTTCTGAGCTTATCTCAGAAACAGCCACAATCAGATGGGAAAAACCTGCAGACAAGAGTCTCAGATGGAAACGTCCAGTCCACTTTAGCCCCAGATGAGCACTAAAAAGACCTTCCTAAAATCAGTGTCCTCCTGGCTTCCTTGACTTTGCCCAGCTGTGTGGTGCTTGATCATCTCCCTTGTCCAGAAGTACTCTGCCAGGGTGACCAATGGCCACACTCCTCAATGAGAAGCCCACGAGAAGGAGGACATCAACGTAGCTGCTCCTTAGGCTGACATTACAGAAAAACAAGCCATCTCCGGCACTGAAGACCATCTCCCTTGGGATTACCTACTGAACAGTGGCCCTTCCATCCCCACAGGCCTCCCATGCAGGGTCGAGAGGCTGAAGGGTTGGAAGCTCCTTCCAGATCTCCAGCGCTGGATGTTCTGCTGAGTGTTCCTGGTTGCTGCTGTTGCTTCAGCTGCTCTGCTTATGGCATGAGGGGCACCAAATGGTCTTCTGCAAAGAAGTGAACAAGCACAGATTGTGTTGCCTGCTCTGAATCTCCTTCCCCTGGATCGTCTGACACTCTACTCCAGATCCATCAGATGACCGTGAGGGATCTTGTCCACCACCTCCACCACCGTGTCCATCTAAGGCATCATTTTACATATCCGTCATGCCTCTTTGCTCATCGTTGTGTTAAATTTCAAATGTCTCTTCCACTGTAAGAGATGCGGCTCACAAGGATCACACACAAAAGGCACCTGGATATGCTAGAAGGTCACAAGCTGGCAACGAGTCCCCAGGGGGATGCAGCTACTAAAAAGGTGCATTTTGAGGAGTGGAGGAGGCGGGGTAGGGATGTCAACAGAAGTACAAAATCCAGCTCTCCTTGACTGGATAATTTGAAGAGGGGGCTGGAGAGTTATTTGTCAGAAATGTTCTAGTGGAACCTTCTCTGTTGGACTAAATATCTCCAGGAACCTTTCCATTATTCCAGGTATAAGATTAAATTTTATACCTGTGCTCAGAAAATTTAAGTTTTGACTGGGACCCACCCAGAATTGGTTATAAGCTCTGGTCTTCTTCACATGTCAGCTCTCCCTCCCCATTTCCCAAAATTAGATACACAGTTGTGGATTGCCCCAAATGCCTCCCCAATTCCCCTTTGATGGCAGGATGCCAGCAAGGCACCAGGCCGATGGAGATCCTGGCAAATGGGAGGTCATATCAATGTTTTCAATCAATCAATCAATCCACTTAAGTAAGTCAATTTCAACCCTGACTGCTCTTTAGAAAGCCAGATCCTGAAGTTGAAACTCAAGTACTTTGGCCACCTAATGAGAAGGAAGGACTCCCTGGAGAAGAGCCTGATGCTGGGAAAGATGGAGGGCAAGAGAAGAAGGGGATGATAGAGGACGAGGTGGCTAGATGGAGTCCCTGAAGCAGTAGGTGTGAGCTTAAATGGACTCCAGAAGATGGTAGAGGACAGGAAGGCTTGGAGGAACGTTGTCCATGGGGTCGCGATGGGTCGGACACAACTTCGCAACTAACAACAAGTAAGTCAATTGGAACCAGGTGGATGCCAAGCAGGTGGGCTCGGTCTGGGTGGCTGGTGGGCTCTGAGAGGGGCCGACCTGCCTTCGGTCCCAGACAGGAGATCCGAGGTGCAGCTCCTCTTCTGAACACAGCACAGCCAGGAGAGAAGCCCAGAGCCTCCCAGGCCCCCCACAAGGCAGGCAGCCAAGGGAGCCCGCCTGCCCATCTCCCCACCTGGGCTCTGCTCCCTATGACTGCCCATCCTAGCCCTGTGGAAAAACTGCCCGTTCCTGCCTTCAGGTCCTCCCACAAGCCTCACCTGGCCAGCAGTTCTCCTCTGTCGCAGCCTGTGGGCTCCGCTCTCTGCAGGCTCCCAGAGCCGAGTGGCTCCTTTAAGGAGGAGAGCCAGGAGCTCCCTGCAGGTTTCCTGCCGCAGCCGCAGCTGAGACTCTCCTGTCCCTCAAGAGCCAGGAGGAGGTGGCCGGGCTCCTTGGACCTTTCCTGCCCTGCAGGATTAAAGAGGGGAAGGAGGTTTAGCCTCTAGGGCCCAAGCCCTGCAGCAAGTCCTCCCCCCTCCCCAGAAGGGGCTCCTCAGCCCCTGTGGTCAGGGTGCCCTGGGAGGCAGCTGAGCCTTATGCCCCTCACAGATCAGCTCTTTCCTCAGCAGAGAAGCTCAGCAATGGTCTTCATTGGGAAGGTCCCACCTTGTCTGTTATTCTCACCCTGGCTGGCCGGCTGAGGGTTAGGGTCATTGGGGGCAGTCAGGATGTGGCTTGGGGTCCTGAAGGGCAGGCAGACGATCCAGGGGAAGGAGATTCAGAGCAGGCAACACAACCTGTGCTTGCTCACTTCTTTGCAGAAGACCATTTGGTGC